AGGGGGGGGGGGGGGGGGGGGGGGGGGGGGGGGGGGGAGCACCCAGAAAGAATGGAGGGAGAAATCGGAGAAGAAGCAAAAATTCTAGAGGAAAGGGGAAGGAAGAAGGAGATGTCACAATCAATTTCAATTCATCATAATCATCAACTGTCTCAATTATATAGCAAACTAAATTTAAATAACAAAACAAAAACCTAAAGTGAAATGGTCAAGCCCCCTAAATAATAGTCCAAATAAAATAAACAGAATAAATAAGAGTCCAAATAAAAATGAAAATAAATATAGGTGGATGTTCTCATCAATTGTCCCGGAATGGGAGAAAATTCGACCCTGTTGAGTAGATAGATCATAAGAGGCTGCAGTCAATCTGATACCAAAAATACTTCAAGTCATGCCATAGGGGACGATCTTTTTGACGAACCAAGTATCAAAATTTCATGATTGATACCAATGAAAATTGTAGCTTATTTCCAAGAATATGATCTGACCAAGGGGGACAGTCTTTCCTTCTAATAAAGTACTGATACTGGACTCCAAATAACCAATACTCTTGTACCTCATCTCCAAAATTGTCACATGATTGTATATAATGAGGAGCACAAGAAGCACGTCGATCTACCCAACAAAGAAGGGAGTACTGATTGTCTCTATCAATTGTTAACATAACATGTTAATTTAAAATAACATCAATTTTATTTTTGTGTGTTGTGATGAGTGTTATTGGATTAGAAACTGTAGTATATGTAGGTTGGGGGGTCCACATATGAAAGTATAAAAGGATCATCAAAACAATTAAAATGACCTTTGTAAGTAACTAAGTTCTCAATAGTTAAAATAGAGTGGGATCAAAATGTGATAAAAGATCAATGACACATGTATTAAATTAATGCTTTAAAATTTCATAAGAACTAGCAGTATAGGCTTGCAGTATAAAATAATCCCCAATATTAAATTCAAAATTTTGCTTATACAAATCAGTTTGAAGTTTATATAATGCATTACTTGCTTCAAATTGTTTATTGATTTCAACATGCAAGTTATAAAAATGTTGTACAAAATGTCTCAACTGACATTGACAAACTAGTATGTGGGGATCTTGGAATAAGGTCTAAAGGCTTCCTAGACTTATACCTACGAATTACTACGACGGAACTTATATGTTGATTAATGGATGACCAACAATTGTTGTTTGGAAGAATTGGCTAGCAATAGCGACGGTAGAAGGATCGATGAGATTTTGGAAGAGGATTTGAGTTATTGGCCGAGTTGAATAGTTGAGAATTGGGCATGTGTGATGGGGATGGGATGGAGTTTGGATTGTGTTATGGAGATGGGCCAGTTAAGGTTAGTATTTGGGGAGTGGGCTTGTGCTGTTGAGAGTGGGCGGAGTTAATTGGGCTAAACGAATTAATGATGGGAAAAGATCATATTTCAGGTGTATTGTTTACACCAATGCAAAAGTCAGATCAATAGTTCAAAAATTCAAAATTCAGGTATGTGTATAATTAATTAAATATAATATAAGTCACAGTTATACAATTTATGGTCACAGATTTATTTACTGATCACATGTCATCAAATTAATTGATCACAGATTATTTCGAGGCACAAACTAAAAATTTTGTAAGTCACAGATTATTTCAAGGTCACAAATAAAAAATTTTATAAGTCACAAATTATTTTTTAGTTACAGATTATCAAATTTTCAGGTCACAGACTAAACTGTTGATGTCACAAATTATTTTTAGTAATAGATTATCAAATTTTAAGGTCACAGACCAAATCGTTTGTCACATATACCAAATACTCCATTCTCGATCCCAATCCACCATCAATACTTGGTCACAGAGCAACCAAATATTTGATCACAATCACTACTACACGTCGCTCCTACCACAACACCACCACGACCACCCCCTAACAACAAAAACAACCAATAAAACATAACGATTGACTGCACCACACCACACCACTGCACTGCACAACCACCAATTGAGATACAGTAAAAAATCACCACCACCACCACCATCGCCGCCAGCATCACACCACCACCAACCAATATCACAACCACCATCACCCAAAAAGTAACAGAAAACCTATCACCACAGCACCCACAACACTACCACACCCAAACTCTGGCACCACAGTGGCCTTAATAAGCCGTCTTATAAATGGTAAATCAATCATTACCTAAACTTAAAGCATACCCACAGCAGCCCTAATCTACCATCTGCATCTAATGGCGCTACTATCCACCGATTGAATCGCGTGGCGCCACCATACCTCTCGTTAATGTCGTTTGGGTGCCACCATACCCACCGTACACAGACTACTGAAGCTTCGTTCACATCGCTATTGGAGACTGCACAACGGTGAAGACAAAGACGACGACAGACGCTTTGCTCCACAACCATCACGTTGCTGAACATGGGATAACAAATGGCTAGTCCTATCTGCATCATATCGCTGCCACCTCGGATGGTAACACCGCCATCGTAGCTGCCGCCACCTTCGATGGTAACACCACTGCGTCGGAGATTCACTTTCAGGGCTGGCGCCGCTATTGTTGAGAGAGACAAGAGATTAGGGTGAAGAGAAAAATGGTACTGGGTTGAGATTTTAGAGAGAGAAGAAGAAGAAAGGGGTGAACTGGGTCTTGTGTTTTTGGAGAGAGGAGAAACAGGGATGGGGGAATGATTTAGGGTTTGTATGGATACTTTATTTTTGATTAAAAAAGCTTTTCACCTGATTTTTGCACTGCCGTTTTAAAATATCTGGATTCCTGTAATTTCCTCATTAATGATTTGGAAAAAAAAAGATTAAAGATTTGGGTGGTGGGCTGGGTAGATGGTTCCTTTTGTGATAGTTAGGGTTAAGTTATTAGGATAGGGGTAAAATATATGGAACAACACCTTCTTATCTAGCGGCAGCAGCTAATGAAATTCCTCCCTCTCTCTCTTTTTAAATTGTAGAAAATTCTAAATTGAAATTTCGGGTGTGAATAATACCGTAAACAGTAACCCTTTTTTCTTTAACTGAGAAAGAAGATTGAAAAAGAAAACTGTTGCCTTACAACAAATGTTCTTTTGTCTTCATTTGTGCTGTTCCACGAGTTTTGGGAAGGAAATAAGAAGAAATTTTGGAATGTAGGAGAGAAATTACCCAAGGTTCTGCTCTAATACCAAATTTAATGTAGGATAGAGAAGAGGGCAACAAGAAAGAGGGGAGAACCAGGGAGAATGGGGGGAGAAATCGGAGAAGAAGCAAAAATTCAAGGGAAAAGGAGAAGGAGACGACACAACCAATTTCAGTTCATTATAATCATCAACTGTCTCAATTACATGGCAAACTAAGTTTAAATAATAAAGCAAAACCCTAAAGAGAAAGGGCAAGCCCATTAAATAATAGTCCAACTAAAGTAAACAAAATAAATAAGAGTCCAAATAAAAATAAAAAAAAATTTCGGTGGATGTCCTCATCAAAATTGGTCCGAAATGGCAGACGATCAACTATGTACTAGGATTTATGGTGTTTTGCGCATTCACAGGGGATGGAAAGCACAAGCGAGAAGGTCCCTGTGTGGGAACTAAAGGTTTCAGGGCTCCAGAGGTAATTGCTTGTGCAATCTTCTTATTCATTTATAACTATACTCAGATGTTCACAATAACATTGACACTTGAAGATAATGTCAGTTGTCACTTAGAAATGTTTACATGGTAGTTCCATTTAGTCATGTAGGTTCAACTGCTTTTCTGTAACAAGTTTGAATCTAAAACATATATGGTAGTGGTATTAATGGATGTAGGATTATGTAATACCAATTGCGAGTAAATTGTTAAATGGTAATGACTCGAGCCCTTGCAATATATTTCGCACGCTTTTATTTTCCAAATATTAGGCTTTTGGTAGCATAATGTTTAACTCCATAAACAAGGCAAACAAGCTTGGTATTGTTTACTTCATCCTTACCGCTGACTTCCTTGTTTGAATTTATGCATTCCTCTGCCTTCTACACATTTGACGGTGAGCAACCGTTTCCGATGATTCACTCTACATTCTACTAAAAGAGAGTTGAACAACGATTTATTTTGTGCAGGTATTGTTCAGATCTCTACATCAAGGCCCCAAGATTGATGTTTGGTCAGCTGGAGTCACCTTACTCTACCTGATGATTGGACGAACACCTTTTGTTGGTGATCCCGATCAGTAAGAACAATAGCACATAATTTAACTTCGTTCATAAAGAATATACTCAACGTTGTTAGTAACACGAACAGGAACATTAAGGAGATTGCAAAGTTGAGGGGCAGTGAAGATCTATGGGAAGTAGCCAAGATACACAACCACGAATCATTGTTCCCAGTGGTAGTACTCAATCCAACTCTTACTTGAATCATATCCTTATTCTAATTTTGAATTCCTATGAAGATTACTATCTCGTAACAGGATTTGTTTGATGTAAAATACTTGCCATCGGTAAAACTTCGAGATTGGTGTGAAAGTAATACACGAAGATTGGATTTTCTCGAGTCTATACCAAGATCACTTTTTGACCTTATCGATAAGTGTTTAACAGTAAATCCAAGATTGAGGATCAGTGCAGAGGAAGCTCTTAGGCACGAGTTTTTCTCTTCGTGCCATGAGACGATTAGAAGGCATAGGCTGCAAAGACAAGGGCTAAGTCTAGACTCTGGAATTACTCGTATCCAACATGGACAGTCTCAGACAGCTGAACTAACGTTGTAAACATTTTAAATAATCAAATCCTCTCTATAATTCTGTTGTTATTTATTGCTAGTAGAAATTTCCACTTGATAAATATATCAATGTATAAAATAGACTGGTTCACCCACTTCCCCTATTTGGGTGTCAATCCCACTTGAGATTTGCATTCAGATGGTAAACCCTCCAAAGAAGAATTTGGATAAGGGATTGAAGCCAGGCATATATATATGTGGAAGTCGGTCTCTTATTTCTTCTCGTATGAAGTAAAGGACCAATAAACTCAAATGAACAACAGTTGCAATGCCTTTGATGCTATAGTCTTGATCTGCAGCAATACATTTTTTTTTTTTGCATTTGCGAGCTTGGTTGTGGACTGTTCGCATGCTAGTAAGTTGTTTGGGAGTGATTTTGAGAATTGATTTTTTGACCGTTAGGAGAAAAGTGAGGTCCACTTGTGAGAAAAGAAGTCAAATATGACAATTGGAATAGTGAAATAACGGTAAAAAAATCAATTTTTGAGGGGAAAAAATCACTCCGAAACAGACTCCAGATCGTGCAATGCATTTGTTTTCCATATAGTAGCGAAAACCCATGACAGTTAGGAAGCGCAACTTTTTAAAATGTTTTTCGGTTGTTATTGAACTTTAAAAGTTATCCGAGTTGTCAATGAACTTACCAAAATATTGGGAGAAGAAGATAGTAAAGTTTATAAATTTCACAAAAAGAAAATCATCTTTTAAAGGAAAAATATTTGATGAAAAATCAAAATTGAAAAATGGAACGCTAAATGTTACATAGGTTAATATGCATGGTACGATTTGTTATTTCAATTAGAGGTATGTTAGTCTATTCAGCTATATCTTTTATGAGGACACGTAATTTCGGACACGTAAGTTTTCAAACAAATTGTGCTTCTTGTAACCATTATGCAAAATATAGTATAAAATTTAAAAATATAAAAAACCGTATGCAAAGTTTAATCATTTACACCCTACGGTTTATTTTGTAGATTTCCCAATGTTATATGAAGGAAATTACACATGGCATTAAATTTTACAACCCTGCCTTTTCACCGAGTTCAAAATCAGGCAAAAAAAAAGGAACGGCAAATCTACATGGTATCATGTGGGGTCAAATGAAACCACAAAATTTTGCCTTTCATTTTTTTTTTTAAATAGTTGTTTGGATAATTAGCAAAAAACATTCCCATCGTTTGGATTCATTGTGAAAATAGTTCCTATCGTTTTAAACCTGTTATTTACACCCTCATTTCAAACATTTCTTGCAGAATTGGTCCTTTTCGTCATATTCCGTTAGATCCTTTCGTTAAATATGTATAATTTGATGTAAAAGGTCCATATTGTTTGTTAGAATTGCGCAAATAGTCCCTACCATTTCAATTTTGGTGTATGGATATTCAAATCGACATTTATTTACTTAAAATGTCCTTGCGTCCATTTTTTCTATTATAACATTATGAAATGATTAATTTATCATCATCTTTAAATAAACAAACAGAAAAAAATAATATAAATAAATTGTATCTAGAGTTTCTAATATTTTTTAACATTACAAAAGAATCTCACATAAAAAAATTTAAAACATTCTAATAAAAAAATATTTTATATTCCCAAATAACACTGTGACATAAAGAAAATAATAAATAAATAAAATAAAATGGATTGGGTCGATTTAAATCATTAGCCAACTTAAATTTTAAGTTTATTAAAGTTCATAGAAAACCAAAGGCCCAAATAACATTTTAAAATAAACAAACAAATAATTAAAATCATAATTATTCAATTATCTATTTTAATTAAATATAATTTAGTATTATCAAAATTAGCATAAATTTTCTCCTATAAATAGGACCAATGGTCCATAAGATGGGAAAGGAAGAGGTGAAGAAGAAGTAAGAAAGAAAGTAGAGAACGCTATGAAGTGCTGAAAAAATTTCAAGACTGAAAGAAAGGAAGAAATTCTTTCAAACCTAAGCTCGGTAAACCCCAAGAAAGATTAAAATCTTCTTCGAATCAAACAGGTTCACGCCAAGTCCAAGAAGATCAAACTCTCCTTCAAATCAAATCAAATTCAAGTCTAAGTCCAAGCCTCAAGATTCAAGTTCCGAATAAGTCAAGTCTCGACAAATCAAATTTCTAACAAATTCTCGAAAATCAGGATCAAGCTGCGTGACCCCTTATCTTCAAATATCAAGATCATTAATCAGAGAATTTTTAAAACTTTGTAATCACAAGAAGGTCAACATCACTTGTATTTTTCAAAATACAATTTGTAACGATTTCTGTATTTTAATACACGAAATTTCGTCTTACAAATTTCTTGGCACGTCCGGTGGGACCTTCTTGTCCTATCATCTTTTGATCTCAAAATCTTCAAGTTTCAACTACTACATCAGCAGCGGCAGGCAAAAAGGCGAAACAAACTATGACTCATTTTGAAGAGACACTTGCTGAACTCTTCCATGAAACTAGGGTCTAAACAAAAACTGGGAAAACTCAACTGGTTACACCACTGAAGAAGTTCTCCAACAAAGACAAAATGAAAATTGCCTTAAAAAAGCTAAACTCTCATTCGACAGAAAAGACCATGAGTTCCATGAAAAGTTCTCGTTTGGGCTCCATCTCCCATGGTAGATCCTTGTCTGGATTCGCTTATTGCACTTCTCAGCCAAAGTGAGAAGATGATGCCTCATCTGAAGAATCACTTGAGCCAGTAATTATCACAGAAGCGGCATCGGGCTTAGATGACCGAATTCAACAAATGGCCTTAGCCATTGAAAAACTAACAAAGTCGTTGAAAGACAAAGATACATAAATTGTTGCACTCATACACAGACTAGAGTCGCAAAATTCACTTACTAAAAAGATCAGGAAAATTCAAGATCTTCCAAGACGAAAGAGTTAGAAGTCTAAGAGTGCCAACAAATGCAAGATATGCATGATCAGACAGTTGTTCAAAACGTATTGCGTGACACCACTCAACTCTCTGTTGGCTCGCTGTCTGTCCAACAACTTTAACATATGATTGTAGACACCATTCGTGTCTAGTATGGTGGTTCACTACAATCTTCTTTGGTGTATGCCAAGCCCTATATTTGTCGAATCGACGAAATAAAGACGTCATTCGGTTATCAACCTCCGAAATTTCAGTGTTTTGATGGCTAGGGCAACCCAAAGCAACATATTGCTCATTTCATTGAGACGTGTAACAATGCAGGCACTTACAATGACACCATGGTGAAGCAGTTTGTATGCTCCCTCAAAGGTGCCGCGTTTGAATGGTACAATGACTTACTAGCAGGGCCAATTGATAGATGGGCACAGATTGAGAGAGAGTTCTTAACACGCTGCTACATCACCCGACGAACTTTTAGCCTTCTAGAACTTGCTCGAACAAAGCGGAGCAAGGAAGAACCCGTTGTGGAGTACATTGAACGCTGGAGAAACCTTGTGCTTAATTGCAAAGAACGAATAAGCAAAGCATATTCCATCGACATATGTGTACAAAGCATGCATTGGGAATTACTCTATAATCTCCAAGCAAACATGTCTCACTCATTTGAAGAATTGGCTACACGTTCTCATGGCTTGGAGCTCCAAATTGCAAGACATGGGAGTTACTTACCAAGTGATCCACGTGATAAGAAAGATTCTAAGAAGGAAATAAAGAAGGATGTCAAGACAGGTAAATCCAAAGAGGCTATGATGATTTCTATTGTTCCTACAAAGATAGTCTTCTAAGGGTTGAGCTCGAACTCAAAACCGAAGCCAGAGTTCAGACCTAACAAATGACAAGTCCAAAACAGAGGTCGTGTGACTCTGAAAGAACTTAAAGGAAAGGAGTACCCATTCTCAGCTTCTGAAGTTTCTGGAATGCTGGATCAGCTCCTTGAATAGAAGATAATTGAACATCCAGCACAAAAAGACCCGAGGAAGCTGGTAAGATCGATCATCCTAAATACTGTAAATTTCACAGGAACATTAGTCATCCAGTGGAAAAATGCTTCTTCTTGAAAGATCTTATTGTTCACCGGGACAAAGAAAACAAGATCAAACTTGAAACTGGAGAAAATTCGACAGCCACTTGCTCAAAGGTTTCATTTGGATCATTTGATCCAATTCTCGTTCTAGGAAAGAAACATTCTTTGATGTACACGATGCATGTAAACCCTTAGTTAAGGAGTTTGGACCTCAACTTTCAAAAGGAGCCATCCGAGTGGAGTTTGAGGTAGACGGAGAAGTCACTATCAGTTATGTCTATCCAGGGATGGATGGACCAAGCGCACCCAATTGTCCAACCTTTCATGAAATTATGACAGGCGACTTGGATGTTTGGGATTTTGACTCAGAATCTGAAGACGAGATCGGTGACGACTAGTCCAACTTCATAAACAAGAAGGAGGAATATCAAATGTCAAACAAAACAAGTAAAATATTACCTTCTATGCCTTTTGCAGAAATGGAGCTGGAGGGATTGGGTACTAAACTTCAACCCAATAAAGAGGAAACATTAAAAAAAGATCAAGGAACATGGACCCTTGTGAAAAGATGTCGTCGAAAAGCTCCACAACTCCCAAATTCTAATGCTTGTGACAAAAAATCAAGACCAAGGAACGACCAAAGAAGGTCTAAAGCCAAATTAAGGGGATAAACTAAATCGATGGGGGTTGAAGCTGCTTCATGCGTTCCTCCCAAACTGTCAACCTTGGATGATTATTTCCCCAAGAGTTTCTTTGATAAAGAATGTTTTACATCCAATGTTATCAATGTAGAGAAGAAAAATAAGATGAAAAATGCATCCAGACAGACTTCAAAATAGAAGAAACCTATCTCATGATTCAATAATATTCATGCCAATAGGAGCCTAGCAAAGTTTCTTAGTCTTTCTTTCGATGATCAGATGGTTTTGGTCACAACGTTAATCGATCCGGAAGAATACGAAGGCAAAGTTTTAGAGCATATTGGATCCATAACTCCTCAAGATTCTATAGCCACCATAACATTTGACGATGAAGATTTACAGCTGGGTTCTCGTCCATATA